ACATCCCTGTGTCCCTGAAGCCTCCCAAGGTCCCCAAGGTCTCCATGTCCCCGAGGTGCTCGTGTCCCCAAGATCCCCGAGGTCCCCATGTCCCCAAGGTCTCCATGTCCCTGAGGTCCCCAAGGTCCCCATGTCCCCAAGGTCCCCCAACATCCCCGTGTCCCTGAAGCCCCCCAAGGTCCCCGAAGTCCCAAGGTCCCCATGTCGCCAAGGTCCCCCTGTCCCCGAGGTGCCGGCGCTCGGTCACCTTGAGCAGCCACTCGGGGGTGACGATGGGGACGCCGCGCGCCAGGGCGCACAGGAACTTGACGGTGCGCCGCACGCGGTCGGTCACCAGGTGGGTGCACTCGAAGACGGAGGTGGCCACCGAGCCGCCGAGGAGCCGCAGGGCGGCCATCGTCCCCGCCGCCGCCACCACCCCCGTGAAGAGCACCTGGGGGGCGCGGGGTGGGCGGCACAGTGAAGACACGCCACGGACACGCCATGGACATGCCAYGGACACGCCAAGGACATTGAGTGGCCAAGGACCCATCAATGATGTCGGGGGACCAAGGACACACCAAGGACCCAGCAATGATGTTGGGTGGCCAAAGACACACCAAGGGCACGCCAAGGACATGCCATGGACGTTGAGTGGCCAAAGATCCATCAATGATGTTGGGGGACCAAGGACACACCAAAGACATGGAATGGGCATGGCAAGGACATTGAGTGGCCATGGATGTGTCAACGACATTGGGTGGCCAAGAACATGCCAAAGACCCACTAATGACATCAGTTGAGTGACCAAGGACACGTCAAAGACACATCAATGACATTGGGTGGCCAAGGACATGCCAAGGACACGTCAGTGACATTGGGTGGCCAAGGACACATCAATGACATCAGTTGGGTGACCAAGGACAGGCCAATGACACATCAATGACATTCGGTGACCAAGGACACACCAATGACATCAGTTGAGTGACCAAGGACAGGCCAAGGACACATCAATGACATTGGGTGGCCAAGGACATGCCAAGGACACTGGGTGGCCAAGGACACACCAATGACATCAGCTGAGTGACCAAGGTCACGCCAATGGCGCCGGGTGGCCAAGGACACGCCCAGGAGGGGCCACCAGGCTCCTTGGTCCCCCCTGTCCCCACACGTGGGGGTCGCACCCCGGGTGCCTCCCCCGCCCCACCCATCATGGCCGCTGATGCCGTGGGGGGGGTGGAGCCTACCTTGGGGGGGGCGGAGCCGGGGTCGCCCCGGGGGCAGCGCAGGGGGCGGGGCCTGGGCACCGGGGCCTCAGCCCCGCCCTCCTCCTCCTGCAACAGAGGGGGTGG